CAATGGAGAACGGGGAAAGAAATGAAGAATGCTCATCCATCTTCGTCAAGACAGCTGCCATCTACCTCAAATAACGTTTTTCCTGATAAGTCCTTCAGAGGTAACCTCATGCAGAGACCTTCGGTATCTTTAAACTACCAGCCTCACTTCCACAAAGGAAGAATGAAAGGTCGCCCTCAAGGAAGAGACCGGGCTCAAGGGAAGGATCGCCACGACAAAGTGTACCAGAGACGCAATTACCAGAAATAGAGGTGGGTACCAGTGTATATGGTGGCAGAATAAAACATTATATGGCAAATTGGCTGCAATTTACTCAGGATAAGACCATTTTGTCGTGGGTCAAGGGATATAAGATGCCATTTTTCAAAAATCCTTTTCAATATAGTTATCTTCCAAAGAAAATGCAGGAATATGAGATAAGACACTATTCCGCTGCCATCTTGGATTTAGTGAACAAGGGAATAAGCAGTCAATGTCAACCAGTAGAGAACCAAATTTTATCTCCCTATTTTCTTATACCAAAAGCCGACAAAACAAAACGTTTTATATTAAATCTAAAGTATCTCAATAAGTTCTTGAAAGCACCTCATTTCAAATTGGATAATTATAAATCTGTTAAAGATTTAATTTCTCGAAATATCTACATGGCTACAATCGATTTAAAAGATGCCTATTATATGATACCAATAAATAATACAGATAAGAAATTTCTTAGATTTAAATTTGCGGAAAAACTGTTTGAATTTAATTGCTTGCCTATGGGTTTATCTACGGCACCCTATGTTTTCACTAAGCTTTTAAAACCAATATTTAATTATTTTAGGCAACTCGGAATCCTGGGTATAATTTACTTGGATGGTATTTTACTGCTAGGAAAAACTAAAAGTGAAGTAGATAAGAGTATAGCTATAGTGTTGTCCACTTTGAGAAAATTGGGTTTTTTAATAAACTTTAAAAAATCAAAAATTGACCCGAGTCAAGTTTGTGAATATTTAGGATATGTTTACAATAGTCAGAACATGACATTTTATCTTCCCAAACATAAAAAACAGGCAATTTTAAATGCAATTAATACTTTTGTTAGGAAGAGAACATGTAAAATAAGAGAGTTATCAAGTATTATTGGATTGTTAGTTTCAGCTTGTCCGGTTGTACAATACGGATGGTTGCATATTAAGAGATTAGAACGAGCAAAATTTTTGAGTTTAAAGAGATTTAGAAGTTATAATTCTAAAATTATAGTATCAAAGATTATTTGTAGGGAACTATTGTGGTGGAAACAGACAATAGACACATCTTTTAATGATTTGGGTAGTAAAGAATATGCTTACGAAATTTATACAGATGCTTCCAAAACGGGATGGGGGGCTGCATGTAATACAGAAGTTACCCATGGGTTTTGGGATCAAGAAGATATGAAACATCACATTAATTTTCTCGAACTTTTGGCTATTCATTATGCATTGCAGTGTTTTGCTTCATAGTAAAAAAACTGTAACATTCTTCTGCGTGTAGACAATAAAATGGCCATAGCCTATATAAATAAAATGGGAGGCATACAATTTGAGAAATTGAGTAATCTAAGTAGACAAATATGGCTATGGTGCGAAAAACGGGAAATAATGCTCTATGCTTCATATATACCATCCAAAGATAATATAATTGCTGATGAACAATCGAGAATTTTGAATATTGAGATGGAATATTCGTTAAATAGTAAGAATTTTTCTAAAATAGTAAAACAGTTTGGTAAGCCTAATATCGATTTGTTTGCGTCTAGGATAAATGCTAAATGTAATACATATATTTCATGGTTGAAAGATCAAGGAGCCTTAACATCTGATGCATTTACAATTAAGTGGGATAAATCCTGGAAATTTTACGCGTTTCCTCCTTTTCCCATAATTGGACGGGTTTTGAATAAGCTAATTAAAGATAAATCTAAAGGAATACTTGTAGTTCCCTAATGGCCCAATCAATCATGGTTTTCTTTGTTTCTAAGACTTTCGTCAACAAAACCCTTAATTTTTAAACCCAATAAAAACTTACTTTTATCTCCATTTAGAACCAGCCATCCATTTTGGAAGAACATACCCCTAGTGGCGTCGATATTATCCGGGGATCTTTTGTAGAAAAAGAAGTTTCTGAAGAAGCTATACCATTAATGATTAAATCATTAAGTGAATCTACATTGAGGCAATATAGTGGTACTCTCCGTAAATGGTGGGTTTACTGTAAGGAAAATAGACTGAGACCATACGTCGCAAGTGTTGGTCATATTATCTCCTTTTTAAGCCTTCTCTTTGAGACAGATATTTCTTTTGCCACATTAAATGCTCATAAGTCTGCCTTATCTTTAATTTTGAATATCTCGTCTACAGATGAGCAATTAATTAAGCGTTTTTTGAAAGGTGCCTTTCGGGAAAAACCTAGTTTTCCTAAATATAATATTACCTGGGATCCTATAGTAGTATTGGATTATATTGAAAAATGGTATCCATTAGAAACCTTGTCACTAGAAAAGTTAGTAAAAAAGTTAGTCATTTTGTTAACGTTGGCTTCTGGGCATCGAATACAAACTATCTCTAAAATTAAAGTTAAAAATATAGGGAGAACGGTATAGATATTTATATTACCGATATGCTAAAAACATCAAATTATAATCGTCAACAGCCAGTGCTAAAATTTGATATATTTATCGAACGTCCTGATTTATGTATTGTAAAAACATTAATTAGGTATTTGGAAATAACTCAACCAATTAGGGGAAACGAAGAATATTTAATTTTAACCTATCGGAATCCTGTTCATATAGCATCTCCGCAATCTATAAGTCGCTGGATAAAAGATGTAATGAAAAACAGCGGTATAAATATTGACCAATTTAAAAGCCATAGTGTCAGACATGCAACAACGTCAGCGGCTGCTAGAGCGGGAATGAACATTGATAGTATTAAGAATTTAGCTGGTTGGACGAAAAAGTCAGAAGTATTTGCTAGGTTCTATAACAGACCTCTGCAAAGTGAATTAAATTTTTTGGAGTCTATGTTAATGAATAAAAGCTAGTATATAGTTAGGGATATAGGCCTTACATTAAGGCATTTTTTTTCCTATATATATAATAAGAATGTTATATTAGTAGTATTAAAAGTATTTGAATACATATGGTTTGAATTAAAATAAGTTTTGCAATAAAAAGTGGTTCTATTACAGTGATCTCATTGATTATTATTTATTTGCAATACCAAGAGTTCCAAAAGAGTAATTATTACTTTCAATAACTACGTGTGTGATCTAATTGGACGAGTATAGCGAAGTATAATCAAAGGAACCAACGACTTACCTGTAGGAAGTTTGTTCCAGATTATATGAGCTATACTCGTCCAATTAGATTCCCACCCTGAACCCTTCCCGGGTAATTACTCTTTTGAAGTTCGACTTCAACAGTGTAATGATTCATATGCCTGGGCCGATAAGAAACGCAAGATAGATAGGTATTTTGTTTGTATACGGGGTACCTTTAAAAATGTTGTGCTCGACAAAGCATAAATGGTGTTACTACGTGTGTGATCTAATTGGACGAGTATAGCTCATATAATCTGGAACAAACTTCCTACAGGTAAGTCGTTGGTTCCTTTGATTAGAATTCAAGATATCTTTGCATATCGATTTATCTTGCCATGAACAACAAGTGATAAAATGGTCAGGTTTTTCTGTTACGTTTTCGTGGTGGCTACGTGTATTGTTTGGTGATAAAGAAGCATTCAACTTTCCTACATTTATGGTGTCATTTTGATGTTAAATCTCATTTAGCTTAGATATTCAAAAGCCTTTTTGTGATTGCTAATAATGCCCTAGAGTGCATAGAATTCGCCGGATGTCCAGGCTAAGTGACTTTGAGAGGGGTCGAATTGCCGGGTTGCGTGAAGCCGGTCTATCGATAAGAGAAGTTGCTAGGAGGACTCACAGATCTTTACAAGGCATACTGTAGTGTGATCGAGCGTGGACAGCGAGCGAGCGGTTCTGGACGTCCCAGAGGGATCACAGATCGATAAGACCACCGGTTAAGGCTTCTGGCTCTAAGAGACAGATTCAGTAGTACTCGAGCCATCGCTAATCAGGGGTTTAAAGAGCATGGAAGGATGGTTGGTACGCGACAGTTTGGCTTCTTTTCTTTTCGCCAACATTGGGTGCTACCTCTCACAGCTGATCATCGGCGTAACCGTTTGTTCTGGTGTAGAGAAAGAATTCTACGGGACCGGAAAAGGAATCAGGAATCCTACTTCTGTCTCTGGATGCACGATGGTCGGACAAGAATGAGAAGGCGACGTGGTGGAAGACGTGACCCACAATTTGGCAGAGAGCGTCACGTTCACCACACCGTGGAAGTTATGGTATGGGGTGCGATTGCTTATGGTAGCAGATCACCACTAATTTTCATCAGAGGCAATATGACATATAAGACGATACATTCAGGAAGTAGTGGAGCCTCATCTTATTCCATAACTAAACTCCACCCAAAGCTCGATTTTTCAGCAAGACAATGCCAGACCGCACGCCGCCAGAGCATCGCTAGCCTTCATGGATCAACATCGCATCAACAGTTTACCTTGGCCTCCACGATCGTCTGACCTATCTCCAATTGAACATGTCTGGGACATGATAGGTCGCAGGCTCTTGCATTTGCAACACCCTCCACAGACTTTAGCAGCTCTTACCCTGCAGTGAGATATCCCAACAGGATATCGACCACCTTATCAGCACGATGCGCAAACATGTCAATGAGTGTATAAGAAGTCGTTGATCCTCAACACATTATTGAACGAGCGTCTGAAGTCAGTTGACGAATCAAGTTGAAAATTTAACCATTTTACTAGTAAGGGGGAACATGTATGCCAAAAATCATTAAAATCGGATAAACATACGTAGGTGCTTACCTTTTTCTGTCACTCAGTATATGTCGGACATGCATATTTTGTATACACGCGTGTACCTTACAGGGCTATTTCTTGTTGACCATGGTTATGACGTATGGTTACCAACGATTAGAGGATCTGCTGAGTCTACTGGACATGTCAACATGACTACGAAAGATCCTGCTTATTGGGATTTTGGGTAAGTACTAATAAATACCACTTTATAGCTATATGTAAAGTAGCTTCAAAAAAGCTACTAAATCTCAGATTATCAAGAATTCGGTTTGTACCTATTTTGCTGATTCCGCTCGAGTTTCGAAGGGTTCCCTACACTATGCGAGAAGTAACCTTCACGCATAATAGCGTCGCTTGACATCAACAAAGCTTATCTTCCGGATTTGATTGCTGCCGTTGTACTGAAGTGATGTGAAGTGGAGCTTGCTCGAGTATCTTCCTGATATCGTTCAAATCCGGCACATTATCAGAAAACTGTAAATTTGGTCATTTTTAGCTCATCAAAAAAAAAAAGATCTAAGACTGACCCCTACAACTACAGGCTTATATCTCTGCTTTCTGCTATAGTTAAGGTGATGGAGAGGTGCATACATCAATAGCTTCTGGAGTATCTTGAACTTCACTATGGCCTTCCAGAGAAGCTTTGCAGAAGGGCGGCTGACTTCCTTTCTAGCCGTAAGATATCCATCGTAATTGACGAGTTCTTGTTTTCATCCGACAATCTCATCGCGGATTTTACCCAGGAATCGGTCTCGGCTCCGACATTGCTACTATAACATATCAACGACCTCATTTCCTGCATGATCAATTATATCCACAACTTTGGTGATAAGGTCACTCTACGTGCAGGAGCTCAGAGTGGCATGCCAATCTCTGCCGGTGGGCTAAAGAAAAGAAGACAGCAGCGAATTGATCTCTGATGTCAAAACTGGAGGTTATTACTGCTTGGTGATGCAGCAATCTGGTAGAATTCAATGCTTCTAATGGTCAAGTTCTACCAAAGAGATACTGCTACTGCCCCGACTACATTACACATGCTCGACGCTGTTCACAGTGATTGATGACTCTTCTCTTGGAACCCTTTCGCACCGAGCTTCGTCCATCCAGAACTAGCCGTCTCTAGGGTATCGAGATTGTAGAACCATCTACCTGAGGAGGCTTTTCTCAGTTCTACTAACCTTAGGTGGTCCAAAATTGGATCAACAAAGTTTCTTTAAGCTCCTGATGACAGCTGCGGTGCCCTGGTACTTAGGCTTTTGCCCATGCAGCTTCGGTAAAAAAAATTAATATTTGTCTTCACAACAGTTTGGATTTATAAAAATTTTTGAGAATATGAGATATTAAAAAACCTGAATCGAAAGCATAACAAACCTACAACTAGTCTTAAACTAGACTAAAAACGATAAACAACTGCATATACATATTCTTGGCACGACTTAAGCTCTTCGATCATTCAACACCAATTCTAGCTAGCATTGGCCTCTGGCGTGGTCTCTATACATAGTTATTGTGAGCTCTCTGCCTAAGGTCAGTGTAATTGTAGGGCTAAAGTGATGGTAGTCATATCTAACAAACGCTTTCAACCTCTCTGTGGAAAGAGGGTGTTTAACATCATAGGATCAAGTGTCAATCTTGTTCTGTATTCCTGGATGTAGTATTCAAACTGAAACGACCAGAGCATAAAGCAAATTTTATATCTGCAGCCAGTTAAAAATATAGTTGCATCCTCGTATGGCATATCCGTTTAATCGTCGACAGTTTCGTTGGTGTTGAGCATAATTGGCTATATATATACTTTACGACTCTTCATTCTTTTCAGGTTGGATGAGCTGGCGCTTTACGACATGGTTGCATACATCGAATACGTGGCGAAAGTCACCAACCAGAAAGGAAATATCATTTATATAGGTTTGTATGCTTCAGTTACTGGATCTACGTAGCGTGAGATAACCGAATATGTGGGTAAACTCTCTCAAGCTGTTATAGACACAAATTTCGACGACTATTTTTTGGACTATTGCATATCATTTTGTCCCCAGGAATCATTGAGCGCGGTAGAATATAATGTTCTGTTGACATTTCAGTATAGGTTGGTCGATACATCCTTTTTCGGCCCCATTATGGGAGCGTTTAGCGCTTTTATCACAGATCTTTAGCTACAACCCCCAACCGCAAGTTTCAACCCATAAAATGGCTTTTATGTTAAACGGCAGTAACCAGGTCAGTTTGACAGCAATTTTCGCCTGGCTGTCAGATTCAGCATCATGTTGGTTGATGTTGCAAATTGCCAAAGCTATTCCACGGCTACTACTATTCAGCATAAACCTCTAGACCGCTTTACGTTGGCTGAACGTGTGTTCCTAAGATCTTTACACTATTTAACGTTTCATCACAAGTTTGGCTTTGAAGATGAACTTTCTCTCCCGACGATGACTCGAAGAGAGACTATTATACTAGTGCTCAGGGATTCAGCTGCCTCAAAGGCAAAAGAACCATGCACACCTTCTCTCAGTGATTCTAATTCTTTATTTTGAAGAACAGAGGGACCGGTATTATGGGAGCTTAGAATTCTCTCCTTACAGACATCAAACTCTGTCAAACTCAATGTGTATCAGATTTATTATTGAGATATGTCCAGCATTTATCCGATTTTCCACTAGAGTTTTGTAAATTAATTACCCTAGATGGCGCTTAAGGAGTTCAGGTCCTAATATCCAGCAGACCATACGTTATATATATATTACTATCTAACTGTCTTTAATTGCAGAATTCTTATACAGGATGTTTCATTGAGTTAGGGATAAAATTTGACCGTGGATAAGGTCCACTAATTTTAAGCCTCTTATAACATATACAGGAAATTTTGGTTCATTTCTTTATAGTCTCACAACGTTCCAAACAACTTGTATTTCTTTTTTAAGCTTGATTTGTGTACCGAGCTTATCATATCGATAATCTCCGATGTTTGTCTGACCAATCAAACCACATATGAAGGGTACAGGTCCAAAAGGGGGCAAGTCGTAATTTTACACAAATAGATCTAGTGGTGCCATCTTGTAGCAATTTTAACGTAGAAGTGGTCAGCGACTTGAACACGTCCTAAAAGCGCTTAGTGCCTGTGAAATTCTAATTCTTATTTACGCATACACCGCCAATAGGGGGCAAGTCCGCATCAGTCAGGTCCTAAAAGGGTAAAGTCCATATAAACAGCTGATAGATGTCGATCTAATACGCGCAGTTTAGAGTTAGATTAGTCGGAGTAGCTAGTGTTTTCAATGTTTTTCAAGTAATTTAAAAGTAAATAACAATGAATACTGAGAACAATAGTAGCGGAAATGAGAGTGAAGTAGTATCGAGACAGAATGAATCAAAAAAGAGGAAAAAGTACGGCAGAATGAGAGATGTCATGAAAAAGATTAGACTGCAGAGCCACGAGGTAGGTGCAAACTGTAACTGTCGTAAACAATGTTTTCAAAATGTACCTGAAGAAGCAAGAAAAACCATTCTCAAGAATTTTAACGCAATGACTTCTATTAATGAGCAGAACTCCTACTTATGTGGATTGATTACGGTACTCCTCATTCGCCGAAGAAGGCCTAGGAAAGATGAAGACGTAGCAAATTTGAGAAGTAGTGCATATTCTTACAGGGTACGTTTTAGAACTGATAATAGCTTACATGAAATAAATATTTGTAGACAAGTTTTTATGTCTGTTCATGGAATAAAGAAAAAAAAATTAGAGATACTACAAAAGTCACTAAAAATGACTGGAGTCGCTCCAAAAGATAAAAGAGGAGAAAATAAAAACCATCCTAGGAAATTTGATGCTCACGTTCTTGCAGCAATATACGAACATATAAAGTCATTTAAAGCTGGGAAAAGCCACTACAGTGTGAAGGATAGTAGAAAATTATACTTACCTGAAGACTTAAACATAAAAAAGATGTTCAAAATGTTTTGCGAGTTGAACCCTTCTATGAAAGTATCTTACGAGTCGTACAGAACAGTCTTTAATACAAAATTCAACATAGCCTTTGGATATCCCAGGACCGATACATGTAGTTCTTGCGATGAGTTTCTTATAAAAATAAAATCTCTTCAGTCTGATGTTTTAAAGAGTATGGATATTGCTCAAAAAGAACGCTTTCAAAAGGAAATACGCCATATTACAATACAAAATGATGTACACAAAAGAAAGGCTGAGGTATTTTACAGTAGAAAAAGGGCTGCGAAGAAACGAAGTCGAACCTCTGTGACTCACGAAGCTATTTGTCTCGATTTTGGACAAAGTCTCAGTGTCCCAAACATAACAACAAACGATGTTTACTATAAGAGCCAGCTGAACGTCTATGCCTTTAATATCCACATTCTATCTACAGCAAAAAGTGTGTTTTACATTTACCCGGAAACACTTGGCAAAAAGGGAAGCGACGATGTATGCTCAATGCTGAATGACTTTTTATGGAATTTTCTCGATTTACAAGTAAGATCGCTTGAAATATTCTGCGACTCGTGTGGAGGGCAAAATAAAAATTACACGATGTTTCGTTTTTTGCATTATATTGTCCACAATACACATAGACTTGATTATGTTAAAGTTACTTTTCCTATTCGTGGGCATTCCTACATGGAACCGGACAAAAATATGGGCTTAATAAACTCCCACCAAAGAGCCGAGATTCCTTCAGATTGGGTAGAAATTTTTAGAAGTGCTCGTGCAAAACCATCACCATTTGACGTTGTGGAAATAGATCAATCCTACTTTCGAGCATGGACAAATTTTTTTAATACCAAAACGGATTATTTGAAGAAATGTCCTTTCCGTTCCCGTCCTATTTGGGAATTAGAAATACATCAAGAACATCATAGACTAATATATTACCGGGAGTCCTATAATGGAGCATGGGAGTCAGCAATAGTGAAGGGAAAAGAGACTAAGCGAAAGGGACCTGTGCTATTGCAAAATGAATTTGTACTTCCTCCGTATTCTTATTCAGGTATAAAAAATACGTATGTCTTGAAATACTATTTTTTTTAAACAACAAAATTATTTTTAGGTTTGATACCCATCACGGCTAAAAAATTTAAACACCTACAAAATTTAAAACGATTCTGTGGTGACGAAGCAAAACAATTTTTCGATAACCTGCCCAAGAACTAGAAGTATATTTTATATTAATAACTATTGTCTACTTTTCGGTATACCTTGTTTTTTTTGGACTTGACCCCTTTAGGCCAACAATGTTTGATGGTTTGACCAATTAATGCTTATGTTCTACTTTGTATAAATGACAATATAAGTTTAATTTCTTGTGTGTGTCTCAATAATTACCCAAATAACTAATCTAATTAACAGAATTCATAATAACCATCAAGAATTTATCAATTACTAGTTTTAAATGTTAAACTCTGTTTTGTACGAAATAAACATTTGGTGACTTAGCTCCTTATGGACCTGTACCCTTCATATGTTTAAAGTCCTTGTCTATTGTAAAGTGTCGGTCCCATCTGTGACCTTCTTCAATAAAAATGAGAATATACTTTTGTAACCTGTCTTCCAGGAGACACTTCGTTTGCTTTTTGTTATTATTTTCGAATTCCTATCGACGAGGGTGATGTGTTTGTTACATCAAGGAACGACTGCCTGTGATGCTTTAGCTGTGTAATAATAGTGTAAATACGCTAGAGTTGAAAGGTGAAATTATCCTAATTACGGTTAATTCTCAATATGATTATGAAAGTATGTATATGTGAAATTACTGATGGACATGGTGACCTTCTTTCAAATCTAACATTAATGTACCTCACATAATCTTTAATAGTAAGTTATAAAATTAATAGCCCATAAAATATCCAGCCTTATACTCTAAAATGGAATCAGTACCATCAGCTGATAAGAAACCGTCTGCTCAAATAACGAAGAATACATCGTTAGAATTAAGTTTTCATATTCTCAAACATTGAAACCGAATTCATACATTCTAATGTATAGGGTGTCGTTTCTGGGAAAGATGGTTTTTTAGTACGCCGGACCCGTGTTTGTTTTTTTGTGATGATAGTCAACTTGATATCATCATAGCACTGAGTACGAGTATTAAATTGCAGAAAATCCTAATATATAAAAACTCCACTGAAACATGACTGCTTTGCTCTAAGGTGTTATGCATGAGACTTTACTATAAGCACGTGATTAAATTAGCTTTATTGCCTTGAATCCTGTCTGTCCTTGATCAACTCAATAGCTTTATGTATTATATTTTCTATAGACACCACCACGTGGGCTCCTAGTTTTGTCAATGTGAAGCATTGTGTGTCTAGATTTCCGCAAAGAAGCATCTCAAGGCATTTTTATTGAAGCTTGTCACATCATTTATTTGCGTTTCCCGCAACCGACAGATCGCTCTCAGATATCATATATCATGTACACATATTTTTAATGCAATCTTCTGAAGGTCGATACAAGCCTTGGACATCCCACTTGGAACACATTAATCCACATATCCACCATTTTTGATGTACGTTGCTCGTTTTGAAAAATCCTATAATATCGCTCAACAATGAAGAGTAACAAGCTGGAATGGACATCGTGGGTACAGTCTTTTGAAAAATTCAAAACATTGTGCGCAAGTAGTTGGAAATCCGATTATGAAGATGACAGAGGACCGCTGTGTTTCTGGCTCATAATTCCTCAAATTTTTGCATATAAAGCTATCGTCGATTTGCTTTGTGAATATTTAGTATTCCAGCGCTTTGACGGATCGGCCGTAAAGTGGATGTGACATCTGTCTATGCATAGCATCAGCTTGTCAAACCATTGGTAGCTGGCGATCGTTAGATTTTTACCTACTTGCACACAATGAAGAGCATGGATTATGTTGCTTTGCTTATTTATCTCGATGCGTTGTCTGCCTATGCAAACAGATCTAAATTTTTCGAAAGATGGTGTACACGTTTTAAAAACTGATTTAAATTTCTTGAATGGTTCGATTTTGCAGTGCAGTGCGAGTTTATTTGGAAAAAATATGGCAACATTAGAAAGACTTAATAGTACAAATAATAGTAATAATTATAATAATAATAATAATAATGATAATAGTTGGTCTTTATTTAGAGCGACGTTCCACTTAACCCTCCACCTCATCCACTATTTCTTATGTTGTCTCATACTGGGATACAGATATATTTTTTCTCAATATCACAGAATCTCAGCGAAATTACGGAAAACCATAAAATGGATTTTTCGTAAAGTAAAGGACTTGATAGAAATAATGATAAAAGGTGAACCGGCATTATGCATGCATTTTCTTACCCTTGCTGGTATCCCTACCGTAGTAGCCAGTTTATAAAAAGTGATTCGCTTCCCTAGCACCTCATAACGTATGCATGAGAAATTAACAGGACCTTTTCACAGGCTTGCACGAAACTGATAGACGGTTTGATTTAAGCGTTCCAAATAGGGTGTACCATCAGCTCTTAAAGGGTTGAATCGACCTTCTAAACACCATTTACTTCTGCACTCGGTGGGTGACCATAGTCCCGATATACAGATGCAAATCCTTAAACATATTTCTTATGTATATAGGTCATTCTATGGGCACCACAATTTCGTACATCTACGCATCCGAACGCAGACGACACGCCAATGAACATTTGAGGGGCATGATATCGCTGGCCCCGGTGGCTTTTATAAACAAGATCGATCCCCTGGTGAAGCGATTTGCCGTGGAATACGGACCCGTCGTTGCGGTAACTGTTTTCATTTTATTGTTTTGGTTTATTTAACTTGGCCTGTTTTATACGTATGTTGGTATGTGTGGGGCAAACAAAATGGCAATTCATAATTTCCATAGTAACCCCATGAAGGGCTTGAAAGAATGATGTCAAATTTAAGGACTTCATGGGAGAAAGGCATAAATCCAATATGGAGACCATCGCAAAATAGCGATTAATAATATCCATAGTCACCACAAGTGTATAGTTACTATGGGTATCAGATGAAAGTACTTGATAGAGGAATATAATAGACAAAGTGATGTCATTCTAGATATAATACGGTGACCGCTGAATAGTGATTTATGATTTCCGTGGTTGTCGCTATAACATGGGTATCAAATGAAGAGGCTCAATGAGAGAAACACGATAAGCAAATAATGTCATTTTAAATTTCATTTGGCGAACGCCGCAAAATATCGATTTATTATATTTATGTAATCCTGTCTAGCGAAATTTTATAATTTATTTATTTAGTTATTTATTTCCAACAGGTGAAACACAATTACAGGAAATGCTGAAAAAAAAATAACAATTAAAGAGGCATGGTTCTTGGACTTGAGTCTATAGTATCACACATTCTTAATAAGATTGGATGATCTATAGCAGTTAATAATCGATGCACAACTGTCACTGTAAATATCACACGATTCAGTAATACTGTTCATGACGCAGCACATGAGATTAATTGGCGATTTTGTCATAACATTTGTACGGCCAGCTTGACAATAGAATGCCGTTTGTTGTCGACTCCCTAGCCTTGGAACGCGGAAACATATTTTTTCAAGTAAATTTTGACAGTCAATTTTATTGTGAATGAGGCCATACAAAAACGACAAAGCAAATATGTTTCGTCTTGTTGACAGTGAATCCAAATTAAAAAACTCTAATAGGGCACTATGGTCACAGCCTCTTTGTGGATAAGAACCTGTGCATTTAAGACGAAAATACTTTAAAGCTTTACGTTAAATGGCCTCCAGGATCACGACAGAATTTTGGTATATTGGAGACCAGATCAGAGTCGCATACTCCATCTTGCTCCTGACAAAAGTAAAAAATAAAGTCATTAATGTATCAACATTGGAGAAACCCTTCCAGTTTCTGAAACAGAAACCAAGCAGTCTAGTGGCAGCCGACGAGATATTGAGTATATGCTCAGTAAACGCTAGCTTGGTATCAAAAGTGACTCCATGGTCTCTATAGAAGGTGCATCTGTCTATAACATGACCATTGATGTTATAATTATCATAAATTAAATAGTTAACCTTTCTTGTATAAGTCATAACTTTACATTTCGAAACATTCAGACTGAGGCAGTTTCGTGAACACCATGACGAAACTAGAGCTCATCTTGCAACATGACGCAATGCTCGACTGTCTTGACTGACGTGCAGATTTTAAGGTCATCAGCGAAAAACAAATGGAAACAGTTCAGTTCAAAAGACAAGTCATTAATAAATATCAAAAACAATAATGAACCTAGATTTGACACTTGAGGTACCCCGGACGTGGCCCGATAGTAACTTGACCTATGACCACCATATTCGACAAATAACCTTCTATCTCTCAAATATGAATTCATGAGCGACAGCATTGCATCAGACATACCCACTGTTTTAAGCTTATCCAGAAGTGCATACTGATCATCTTGATCAAACGCCTTCTGAATACCTGTGTAGATGACATCAACTTGTCCCTGACCGTCCAGTACTTCAGAAATGTACTGAGTAATTAGAGCCAAGTTGGTGACCGTAGATCTGCCTCTCATAAACCCATGCTGATTAATAGAGACTGCACCCCTGACCGAGCAGTAAACCGTTTCATAAGCGATGATCTCAAACAACTTGCTGAAATTGCACATGATTGCTATTTGGCGATATTTGGAAATATCAGAGATATCTCCACTTTTGTGAATAGGACATATTTTTGAGGTCTTCCAGATATTTGGATATGTCTCTGATTTTAGAATTAGGTTGAATATGGAAGCCAGCGGTTTCGCTAGTATATGGATGCAATCTTTAACGAAAAAGCTTGGAATACCATCACAACCAGACGTCATTTTGTTCTTTAATCTTTTCGAAGCCCTAATTACGTTTTCTTCACTTATATTTTTTAAAGAAATGATATCGGTAGAATTATTTGTTGGAGGAGATGACCCTAGTAGACCAGACGGGATAAAAACTGTTGAAAAGAAGGTAGCAAAACTGTCCACTATATCGTGAGGCGTATCGCAGACATTGCCGTTAAGCGTCATCCTTGGGGGATTCTAGATTGCTGTTTTTTGATCTGCGCAAATGACCAGACTTTGCTAGGATCATTGACAATGGCATCCTCAACCGACTGGACGTAAGCGGAGTAGGCAACACTGATCTGGTTCTTAATAAGCTTCCTAAAATTACTGAACTGATCATAAGAAAACTTAGTACCGTCACGTTTCCAGCTCCTTCTTGCTATGTTCTTCTTCTTGATATTAAGTATAATTTCACGTGTGAACCATGGGGGATACGAAAACATTTTATTTTTACATTTAGGGACATGGACCTCAAAGATGTTATTGATAACTGATACTAATAAAGTAAGAGCTCTTGTGGAGTCCTATTAATAAAACATATGAAAGCTATATAGAGATGATCAGACTGATTAAGTACTGGAATGTAAAGAACAAATAAAATAAAAGATACGTTTTTAAATCTTTCGATCCTATTTATGAAAAATAAAATGAACAAAAAATTTAAAAATCAATTTTCTCAAGATACTTAAACGATAATGTATCAATCTCAAGTTTTGACAGCAGAATAAAAAGGATGGAATCTTTTTTCTTTGAAAACTTGAGACGATGGAGCTTCATTACCGTTTAAAAATATCCAACCGGAAAAAAATATTTTTAAATGTTTAGTTCACTTTATGAAAAAGTAAATAAAAGCTTGTTTTAAAAAATGCATGTTTCAGTTTACTTATAGTTCAAATGAATAAAATATGTTGTCTTAAGATGACTAAACATGCTTCTTCCACAGTTGACCCAAAAATCTCGTCCTGGTAGCTCGGCAATGTTACTAGACCCGATTTGGTAAAATCTTGATCAAAATTAGGTCTAATTATATCAAAAAACCTATTTTCGAACTCATATTAATTACCCTAATATGGTAGATTTTGCTGTTCCTATTACTCAGAAATACTAAGTTTCATTGCTACTACTTAAGTTACGACTGTTTACCGCATTGCATCCAAAGAACTAAACGTTTCTTTTTGTTTATTCCAATCTATTGGTTCATTGAGGGTAAATCCTGGACTGCGTTGATTCCAGAAGGTTGACTTCTCAACTTAGTCAGCTAAAGTGCTGTATCGTCAGCTGTTCTTACAATTGTGGGACGCCTTTATGACCTCCTTGATTTTCATAGTTTGTCCTTCAGAGAGGCAGGGGTATTTCTATATTTCTACTGCTTTGTTTTTGTTTTTCATCTGTTTTTCCTAAGTTCCAAAAAGAAAGCATAACCTCACAATAGGAAAGCGATGACGCTGACACTGACACGAAACAGTAGAAATCTAGAAATACCCTAACCTTTCTGAAAGAGAGAAAATACTATGAAAATCATGGATGCCATAAGGACGTCCTACAACTGTAGGACGGCTAACGATACGGTCCTATGTCCCCAGATGCTGTATCTGTATGTCATATCCTTGATAGAACCTCGACGTGGATCAAACAAGCCTATTTTGTCAAAAATACCCTCCAGGCAACATAATTAAGGATACAAGGGCTGCTTTGTCATCTCTTGCTTCCCTGCACAACCCTATTGAATATCAGGTGAAGAAGGAAGTTAAAAAATTTCTCAACAGTGCTTCCCTTCTCGAAGAACTGGGAACATAAACGGCACAGGAATGTACTATTATTAACATTTAATATTTCATAAAATTTTCTTGTTATAAGCAAGAGTTTATTGACAAATAACTCAAAGAGGGGTGTTTCACAATAAAATATGCTCATATAAATGGAGTAGAGAACGATTTAATAATTTTGCCACCTGTAAATAAGAGATAAAGATTAATTCTTGCATTGTACGTTATGTAGATATGGGAATTTTCTCTGCAAATCCATGACTCTAGAAATGCATACGTGTTGCCCCGCTAGACACTATGTGCAGTCTCTTCTTTTCTCCTATGTTTCCTTAAAGCCCCATGGTGTGAAATATCGACAAGCAGCGTTGGGCGTAAGTAGCTTTTCTGAAGACCATGCATGTTTGCTTCCCGTTCCGTCTATCTCCAAGTCTACACGTAAGACCTACAGCGCACTGATGAGCTGCTAATGAGCACGAAACAGCGCTGTTTGCGGTGGGTAATGGTTAAAGGTCTATTTCCGAAAAATCATCCTGAGTGTTAGTACTCAAAAATTGATTTTAAAGCTGTGACCAAATTCTATTTATCTTGGACAGTAATTGTAACCACAACATGTATCTGATCGAATCAGCAATGCTCCATTTGTTTCAACAACTTTAATCAAATTAATAGACTAATTATGCGAGTTGAATTTAATTTTCGTTTCCACTTTATTCCAGAAACTTGCAGACAATTTGGGCTTGAAAGGAACAGGTCAGATTCCTGATGTGGAAATGTTCCTACGGAAATACTGTGGAACGTATCCAGTTGTCGTTTTATGTGATGCTCTGATTAAACTGACCAGTGGTGACAACCCAAACGAGAATATCGCAGTAAGAAATGATTTCAGTTTCGTAGTGATGTAAAGATAAGGTCGTCTAATTTGGTACTTGTTGACCGAGGCGGTACCACCTCACGTATATAAGAAGCTCGTTCTTACATATCTTCAAAACATTACAATATCCTACTCACAAAAAGGATAATTGAACACCATGTGCCCTTCATACTCAAATATCCCAAAACATCAACATTTATAATCGACTGATACAAATGCAAATGAAAATGTATATCCACATAAACGAATTTACTGATATGGTTTTGGACAGATTTTACGTGTGTGTGATATCACCGAGATTGATTCTCAATTTTAGGATTGTTCCGAAAAATAAAAATTGGCTCTGGCTCTGATGCAGTTAATTGTAAAATCAATAAATAACGTAGATGTCGACGCACCGGAGACATGGTATAATCCCGCATTAGCTAATATTTCGCTGTCATCGTTGTCAGTTTGGAATTCAAATTGTTCCTATCCTCGAATTGACTAAATTGGCTAAATGCAATTTTCGTTATTATCCGATTATCACTGATCAACAGCCAAAAAATATCCTAAATAAAATCAACAAAATATTACTATTTTTAATGTGCTAAAACCGGAATGAAACTTATTTTTCCAATATTAGTTCAAGTTTTAGAGATACGGTAATTATATGTGTTCCTGCTGTGACAGTGTTAATATACTGTAATTCACAAGAATGCACGTGCTACATTTTTATATTCGGCAAGGAAAGATGATGTAATCGGCATGATTGTGTTACGTTATACATACGTGTACATTATATTGTTTTATATTAGCCATTTTTTCCTCAGTTGGCTGATAGCGTTCATGCAAGATGTCTCGAAAGTGTGTAAACAATCCAGATCAGTTTTGTTACGTATGTGGTGATGTGACTTTTGCGTCTCAGAGACGGTCTATTACTCCACTAATAACAAAGGCATATTAGCTTTATTTCGGTTGTAAACTAGGTGATCAAGACAAACAGTGGGCACCCCACATCTGCTGTAATACATGTGCTTCAAGTCTGAGGAGCTGGTTAAATGGCAAAAAACGTTCTATGCGCTTTGCTGTCCCAATGGTTTGGAGAGAGCCTACAATTCATATTAATGATTGCTACTTTTGCATGGAACCTTGTGTTGGACAAGCCACAGGTATGTCCAAGAAAAAAAATCGGTTATTAACTACCCAAACATACCATCTGCGATGAGACCTGTGCCTCACAGTGACGAAAATCCTATTCCAAAACCCCCAGAATCCTACACTTGCGAATCAGAAAACGAATCAGATCATGGCGATCGAGTGATTCGTCAGGAAGAAGATAACACAGTCAGAATTAAATGATCTTGTAAGAGATTTAGAACTTCCAAAATGTAAGGCAGAGTTACTTGGATCAAGACTGCAGCAGTGGAACTTGTTAGAAGACGATGTTTCGGTATGTGTTTTTCGTAAACGCCACAAAGACTTAGAACCATTTTTCAATATGGAGAATAACTTGGTTTTCTGCAGTAACATTAAAGGCTTACTGGCGGCTTTAAATATAAACTATAGCCCAGAAGAATGGAGATTGTTTATAGACAGTTCAACATTGAGTTTAAAGGCAGTGTTATTACATATTGGAAATATTTTACCATCTCTTCCTGTAGGGTATGCAGTTCACATGAAAGAATCATATGACAATATGAAGTACCTATTGACATGCATAAAATACGATGAGCACCAATGGCATATTTGTGGCGATTTGAAAGTTGTTGCACTTTTACTTGGGCTGCAGCTAGGCTACACAGAGTTTTGCTGTTTTTTGTGTGAATGGGACAGTCGGACAAAGGCACTTCATTACCCCAGACAAAACTGGCCTGTTCGTCAATTCCTAGAGCCAGGTCAAAAAAATGTACAGCATATGCCATTAGTAGATTGGAAAAAAAATTATTACCACCACTGCATATCAAGTTGGGCATAATGAAAAACATTGTCAAGGCATTAGATAGAGATGGGTCAGCTTTTCAATACCTGCGTCAGAAATTTCCAAGACTAAGTGAGGCAAAGGTTAAAGAAGGTATTTTTGTTGGGCCACAGATTCGAAATATTTTGAAACATACACAGTTTGAAAACACTTTAACAGGTATTGAAAAAATTGCTTGGAATGATTTCCGTCTGGTGGTCACTAATTTCTTGGGAAATAGAAAAGCTGACAACTATAAAACCCTTGTCAAAAATATGCTGTCATCGTATCAAAAGATGGGCTGTAATATGTCTCTTAAGATACATTTCCTACACTCACACCTGGATTTTTTTCCTGACAATTGCGGAGCCGTAAGTGATGAGCACGGCGAACGTTTTCATCAGGATATTTCAACAATGGAAAAAAGGTACCAGGGAAAGTGGAATCCTTCCATGCTTGCAGACTACTGTTGGACTCTTGGTAGAGATGCTCCAGAAACGATCCATAAAAGAACAGCAAAAAGACAGCGCATATAGTGATTCTTATAAGTATATGAATCTTGTTACTTTTTTTAATATATCCTTAGAAATAAAAAGTTTTTTTTCTAAACCGCAACTAATTTTTTTATTTCATTGTCATTTTTGGATTCAGCGCCCCAAAATTAACAAAGAAGTGCACTTTTCCCAGAAGATACAATTAAAAAACTAAAATTTGTTGTCCACTGTTATCAGTTGCGCCCGTTTTGCTAGTAAAGTGAGACAGTCCAAACAGACGAGGTTGTCAAAACAGTAAATGTTTGACTCACTTCAGAGCTAGGCTACCTTGATCAGAAGGTAACCTAAAAATTACATTTTTTTAATTTGTCGTGAAGCTACACTCAAGACTGGACAATTTTACTATTTGGTGGATTTTGCACATAAACAGATAAGACACTGTGCGTCGCAGCCCAGAAGGCAAAGGGCCCCATAGAGTATGAAAAACGTGCTTTTTTTTTGAGAAGTATGACGATCCAGTTCTGCGGAGAAAAATACCAGAATAGGAAAAAATAAAAATTGTTGTTCGATGTTTCTGAGGAACCTCATCATTTTTGAAAAAAAATAGAGATAACAAATTAGAGGTTTAGAGGCAGTGTACCGCAGTTTTTTGATGTTGGTATATTTATACGCTTCTGACTCCGATAATTCTACGCACCTACTAGGCATATTTCATCACAGATTGCCTCGTATATATATCTGCGCTGCGTTACGGACAACTGAGGTCTAACTGCCAAACCGCCGCTGCCTCGAGCCGCGACTGGCTGACTGGCTGCAGCAAACGTCTGGATGAGTCAACCTTATCGTCGCACTGTCGGAAGATTAGGGAGTATTTCTATGAATTCATTGTATGGGTATGTTTGACTGGCATGGGTCTCCCCACACATTTGGCCTTAAAACTACATACATATAATGTATTTTCGGCAGTCGGATCGCGTACCATCGGTCGGACCTGCAGTGCACCACGGGGTTGTAAGAGTTGCATCTAGTGGATCTCAGGAATTTTTAAAAGCAGGTAGCAGATTGCACGGTTGCGCGATATGTACATAAGAGTTGCGCGTAATATCTATATATACGAGCAGTGTGCTTGGAGTACAATTTAATGAGGTTACTTGATTTTGTGGGATCACATTATATAGTATAGTACATCTAGTATATAAGTACGTATCAAGAGCTATTATAATCAGTTATAAAACATTGCTGATAAAAAGTTTTACAACAGACCTCCAAAAAAATAGAGCTACCGTGCACGGACACGCTCATTGCTGCAGACTGAGGCAGTTTTTCTCATGTCAAATCCAAACAGTGCACTAATGGTTCTAGCAAAATCTACTTGTTTTTGATGGCATTACACTACATGGAGAGTTGTATCTGCTGGAAGTTATTTCGAAGACGCAGAAAGTATAGAGTCACCCTACTTGACGCCATTTTTATATTGCGCATACGATTTACCAAGCACAAATATTTTTGTCGTACTCGTATATCCGTTAGCAATAGTAACAATATTAGTAGTGATGTGTGTTGGCGAACCTTCGAAGCTCGACCCCTTATGGTTTCTGCTAATTTTCAGGATATGGTTCCAGTCTTCTTCAGCTACTACCCGACAGGTGTGTCCTTGAAGGTTGCAAAAATGTATATGCAAACAGTACTTCAGCATGGAAGGTTTGGGAAATACAACTACGGAATTGAGCGGAACAGAAGGTTGTACGGTTCGGACATGCCACCTGAATATAACCTCACAAACATAGATCTACCTGTATTTCTTTTTGTTGGCCGATATGATGCTGTGGCCACACCAGCGGTAATTTTTTCTACTTTTTAAGCTTGGATGTGTAATGAGTTCTGCGTTGCTGTTTTGAGTTTTTTGTGAATAGGCGGATAACACTTTTGTAACCATTCAATCCGTACAAATTCAACACAGGTTCGTCTATGTTAGTATGTCCTTTGGGACTAGAACTGAAGGTTTCTACATATTCTGAAAACAAAGAATGGTTGTAAAGGCAGGGTCTTCGGTATTTTCAAATATACAACGGAACGTTTTTTTAAATATAACGATATGCCACCTGATACTTTATTCTGAAGCTGCTTATCAGTGCTTTACAGCCTTGGAATGTCAGGTTACGATCTTTTAAAATAATATACCGGCGGGTTGTCAACTTTAAGCGCTTTGTACAGTAAAACATTTCGCTTAGCTGATGAGCTATAAGCGATTCAATATACAAATGCGCTCAACTTTGGAGGTCGCCAGTCAATCATTTTGAAAGATAGTGAATTTATTCAGTGGGGCTATGAAGTACTGGCAACATACAGGCGTTCCCAGCTTCTGAGCTTCTTAGTCAGCGGTAATGCCAAGTTCTCACATTTTTTGGCAGCGGCTGAGTATTTTGCACATTGTAGAACTTCACCGCTTTTCAAACAGCAGAATTCCGTTTAACATTTAATATTTGATTTTTCGCTACGTTTTTGTAAATCATTATCCCGCGTTTCAGTTCAAAATCCGATTAAGAAGTATAATAAAAGCACCATTAGGCCAGATATCCTTTTTTAACATCAAAAGTTGTATGATTCGGTTAGGCGAATATTGAGGAATTACTTCTACGTAATGATCCTCATTTCTTCTTGATACCTCCCTACGATCTGGAACATTCACAAGTAGGTTGGACATGCTGCTCTGCAGCAACAAGTACCCCGTTACAATTTGTATCGTTAACCTCTCAATAATTTGTTGTCTCAAATGATTGTTTACTTCTTACGCTACCGCACGAGGAGTATTGTGATCAGGAAAGATTTTGAAAATGACATTTAACGTTTTTTGGATGTTGGACGTGCCACGAAAAGCCACGTTCCTCATTTCCGACGGTCTATTTGTTTGTCGGTCTGTCGGTCTGTGGGTCTGTCCGGTCAACTCTATAACTTGAAAAGTACTTCTCGGATTTGAAATAAATTTCAGCATAAAGTTGCTAGGGTCAAGGGGCGAACAGCTTTCTAGTTTTTGGAAATCGGTCCAGTGATGGCGGAGGAAAAAGCCAAAAACGAAAAAATAAAATAGTCGTTTTCAAATAACTACATGGGCCTATTTCACTGCCTTGATTCATTTAATTTCTCTATTATACATGTTCGTAACTAATTTATTTTATTCTCAGAAGGTTTAAATTACTCTGAACTTAATTCTTTGTGATGATGACTGCGTTGCATAAGAAGCTGTGCTGAGGTGTGGTTTTGATAGGTGTCGACAGTTATCAGTTAGCCAAGCATTCACGAAAACGAAGGCACCAACTAAATGCGGCCCCGACGCAAGCTCAGCAGCTCAAACGGCCTGAATCTTGCCAATGATAAGGAGCTCGAAAGTGAAGTGACATGATCCTATTCTATTTAAAAGATGGTGCTCAACTACATGCCGAGTATCTCTGAACCCGCCTTACTAATCAGAATCTTTTTCCTCTCACCTTTTTACTACGTTTCGCGATGTACATTCGGGGAAGTTTTAATGAGCAAAGTTGGGATTAGTCTTCGATCGATTGCCAATTTTTAAAGTGAACGTAATAAACCCGATTAACTTTATTACCGTTTTTTGCAGGACGTCGACGTCTTGTACACGGTGCTGAACTCTAGAGGAAGAAGCTACGCTGTGAAATATGTACTTGATATGGCACATAATGACTTTGTAATTGGAAAGCACCTCGACGAATTTTACACCAAATTGCTGGAGTTTATGGGAAAACTTCGTAGTACATGATATAATGAATTCTGTTAAGGTGCTGCAAACTTAGTGAATATAGTTTTAAACTTTCCGTGGAGTTTAATTTTTATTTAATGGACTTGTATCACATCTATAATTAATAGTTAATCCGAAATTTAAAAATTGCAGACTCTCACACATCTTTTGAGCTGAGTACATGGTAATTCGAAAAGGAGTGCTGCATTTTCTTAGACATAAAAAATATTCATGAATAGCGAGGTAGTATACGTTAGTCAACAGAATAACAGAACAGTGCTTCCTTGAAGGTAGTGATAAAGCATAGATGAAGATATCAACTCAAAATATCATGGGTATGCTGAGACCGATGTGCCTCTTCATACTGCATTGAGAGATATCCAGACAGAATTAGAAACTGCTATATTCATAATGAACTGGACGAACTAGCACAGTTAGATTATTTATTGTTGCATAGTCTCGGCGTTCATTTTTCAGAATATGCTGCACACGATTATTATTTTCGACTGAGCACGTATTCTAACATCATCTGCTAAAGTATAAAAACCGTTCTTGGCGGTTACGTCATCAGCGCTATATGAAATAAGTAAACAGATCGAGTCTCCGTTCCATGGACGGAGCACTGCGCAGACTAATCTTCAGCGTATCTGCTACTCTCTTCGGCACGCATGAAGTGGGTAACAGGGGTCGTCTGTTTTCACTCTCTTCCTGGAAATACTCTAATAAATTTAGCACGAGCTGTCGGCCTTCTCGATTGATCGTATTTCCGGGCATTGTACAATTTTATATTGAAGATTGACAACAGGATAATTCGAATTGCACGTCGATGTCAAGTAAGTTGTCACTCTGACAAATATGAATGAAGGGCACTCAAACGTAACGACAAAGTTTTACCGAACAGACGTTCACACACAGGGGTAGGTTGCATGTATATGCATGAGGGAGATGGGGATATATAAAGGGATACTGGTAGTCTTACTTTGACCCACCAAGAACGGTGACTACAACTATAAGAATATTACCCAGCAAACATCGTTGATCCGGGAAATTGCCCTGCCAATGCAGGTTGGGTCGGTAGTATCGCCCGCTGACAGATTCTGACAAAAATATGTTGGGCCGTTGTCTTTTCTGCTGGCTCATCATATATTCATCGACATTTTACCATTATGATGGCGGCATAGTAATTGGAATTTGCTGGGCCAACGAAAAATTTATTTTGAAGATTCTGCGACTGCGCTGTTAGGTTGATGTAAGACAGATCGCAGATGACATTTTGCGATCTTCCTGAGGAGACGTGTGGTGGACCGCGATGGAGGAATATAGATGTTTTCGTAGTTAATGATAGGTTAAGGGTAAGTAAAGCCACCCCTCATCAGCAGTAAATGTAGCATTCGCGGAACCCTATGTACCAGCTGCATCAGGCCCGCGTGCAAGGCCGATTTAGCGGCCCCATGTACAACTCTACGCTGAGTTCTTTCTGTGTCAGTGGATCACTGGAACGGGTTCGATAACGTCGAAATTTAGACATAAGTGCATATTTATTTCTACAGAAATTGAACTTTTCTTGCCTTTATGTTAGAAAAATCTGCTATCAAGTTTTTCGAATCCATGCTGTCTAAAACTTCATGTTCAATAAAAATTATAGCTAAATTACTTAGTCTTTGCTGGTGCATTTTTGACCTCAAAAAGTTTTTTTAATCTTTAACTTTAAAAAAGACCTTTCACCGAATGCAACTGTGACCGGCAATGTAAGTAATATTCGTATCGATATTGCTGTGTTTGGAAATGTTGAAATTAAATCATTAGTAAGAAGGTATTGTATCAAAGTGTAAGAATCACTAAACTGATTCTCTGGAAAGTGCAATTTCAAAGCTCTAATTTCATTAAATGAGTCGATACTATCAATGTCAGTTTCGCCAGTAGATTCGTCTTTAAGCTTTAGATTTAAATTTTTACAATGTATAATTAAGTCATCTTTGCAGTAATTAAAGTTATTGTTTAAAAAACCAAATACGTCAGTAAAAGTTTTTAACTCCTCGAATATGTCTTTTGTATTTAATCTTGTGGTCTAGTAACACTTCGTTACTGTGTTCATACTGAAATTGGGTTTTTCTAAGACGAACCGTGTGTTTATTGGCGGGAAATTTTCTTCTACGTTGAGCTACTCTTGTAGCTTCTTGTAATAGCTTCGCAAAGTGCTCATCTGTGCGATATTCAGTTAACTCAAGCATGAGTATCAAATATTTTTTCAAGATTGTACCATAATGGCTTGACTGCATCCATCCTGATAGACCACCGCGTGGCACTTAGAGCTTTTAATTTGAAATCTGGTAAATGTTTGCAAAATATCGACCACCTCTTTTTAGATTCTCAAAAGATAACGTAAATTTTATTGAATTATATTAAAGGAATTCACAGTGCCGTGCGAAATATTTGCTGCATCTTTGACGACCAAATTTAGACTATGAGATGAGCAAGGAACGTAAAATGCAGTACTGTTGATTTTCTAAACTTTTTTGTTTCGATATCTGTTTTTGCTGCCCACTTGGAAATGCCGCCCTTGTGCGGTGCACGCTCTGCACGCCCGCACGCAGCGAGCCTGAGCTGCATCTACGTCTGGCTTTAGTCATCATGGTGTAGTGTCACCTCAAGAAATTCTTCGGAAGTTTTATCTTATTCTTGACCAATCGTGTATTAGATGGTAATCAGCTCTTCAAACATGATAATGAGCCGTATTCAAAAAGAGAAGCATATCCTCGGAAGCATACGGTAAAGTATAAAGTCTTGCTTCGGAGAAAAAGGTGGAAGTATAAACATATACTTGTTTTCATATTCATAATGATTACTTATACTCGCGAGGATATCCTCCAAGAAGAAGTAAAAGGTTGACTGGTATTTGTATCTTGAGCGACATGTCCTGATTTGTTCCAGCTTGTAGTTGATGTGGGAGTTCGTTCACTCAGCATCACTGACAGTTGTACTCCAGAGCTTACACAGACCGTTCCCTATTTTTACTGGATACAGTTTTTTATCAAATTAGTAAGGATGTCATCCTCAAGTGATGAGGAAGCTATAGAAAATAATGGCAACGACCTGCAGTTCATCGCAGATGAAATTGCCATTACTCCCATTATTTTGCAAAAGCCACAAGTTCCAAAAATAAAAATGAGAAAGGACGACGCCTTAAATAAGATGTTGGAAAAATACGAATCAGCATTCGGTAAATAATTAGATACTAAAAAAAATCAGCAACATGAAATCAAGATTGAAGAAAAAACAGATCTAAAAAACTGGTAATAAAGCAATTGAATTGCTAGATTGGGAAAGAAAGTTGCTGAAAGCTATGGAAGGTGACTGTATTCCTAAAATTGGGAAAATCAGAGGTGGCATTCTGGTTGGTAGTAATCAAGAAGAAGGAAGTGAACTATATACCGAGACCAGTGGGCAAACAGTTAGTATTAGAACGCCAGCAATTCAGGAGACATTGCCACCAAAAAGAAAATTAGCAACAGAGAACTACGAAACTGAGGAAACCAAAGGGTTAACTACAAAAGAACTGCAAAGTCCACTGCTATTATAGCAGTACCAAACAAGTATTTTACAACAAGAGTATTATAAAACGAAATTAGAAATGATGCAGCGTCAGAAGCCACCCGTAACTTTTGATGTTCACGAAAATAAAACTTATTATAACTTATAAATACACTTTAATCAGTACAACTATTTATTATAATACTCAAGTTTCTTCTTATTTGTTGAGCTAGTTGGCGGAAAGGAAGTTCGTCATCCTCATGATTTCCTTCATCTTCGTCTGGGTCTTGTTCAACTAACTCAAAGTCAGGATCGCCCAAGCTCTTCGCAACATTATGCAATACAAGCAATAATTATTTTCGGCATTTTCCAACTTTAGGCGTCAAACATACTGTAGGATAGGAAACCGGCATTTCAGTTGGCCGAAACAGCGTTCAACTATAACTCTTTCTTGTTTTAAAAGCTTATTATAATTTATTTCTGCACCTGGAGTAGGATTTCTGAATTGAGTCATACGAGGGATGTTTTTCAAGTTTTGTATATGGGAATAAAACAATACGGTAGGTAGTTTTAAATGACTTTATTGTTTTTCGAAGCATTATCCACGAAGATTAATACACATCTGCATGCGCTCGAACCAATTTTTGAAGCTTGTATTGTCTTGGTGGAGGATGATTCTTCTTTCGAGGTTGATTTTTCGAAGCTCGGTGATCACTTTTAGCAAACAAATGGTATACCAATCCACAGTAACAGTTCTTTGCTCATTAAGAGGAATTGTTGCAATATGACCCGCTTTTGACACAAATGTTGCGACCATCTTTTTCGAAACACTTCGAGAACGGATGACTTTTGTTGACTTTTCTTCACTGGTAACACCCAAACAGCCGACTGTCTTTTATTTTCTGGTTCATAACAGTAAATCCACGATTCGTCACCACTAACAATGCTGTACTCATTTTTTGAGTTTCCGGAATTGAAACGGTCAAGCGTTTTTTGACACCAATTGACCCTGGATGCTTTCTGCTCTTCAGTCAACAGGTGGGGTATCCAACGAGAAACTAATTTTCTTACTCCTAATTCTTCATGTACAATTTTTTGAATTGAGGTCTCTGAAATGTTCAAGGACGCCTCAATCTCGCGATATGTCACATGTCTATCTTCAATCATGAGTTTGCGCACAGTATCGACGTTTTCCTGGGTGACTGCCGTTCTTGGTGCACCCAACCTGGGATCGTCGCTAAGACTCACCCGTCCACGTTTGAATTCTCCATACCAACGGGAAATTGTTGACTGATGTGGCGCTTCGTTGCCGAAAGCAGACAGCAACTCAGCAAGGTATTCTTGTTGCGATATAATTGCCTCTGTAAGTTGTAATAAATTGTGGCGCGAAAATGTTCTCGGTTGAGTTCCATTTTTCTAATGACTTGATGACACTTAAAAATTCACTGTAGTGAGAAAACTGCTCGTATTGTTGTGAAACTTTGAATTTAAGTTTACTAAAGAGTGAGGTTAAGATTCAGTACTGACGTTCGATCCGCGTGGCCT